AAGTCAAGAAAAACTTATCTTGAAACTGAAATTCCTATTTTGAGTTTGAACACCTTTCAAGATGCTGTGATGATCAGAATGGCTTCAGTGAACCTCTAGAAAGTTACTCCAATTCTTACTTTGTATTGAAAGATGCTGAATCACTTCAACTCAGTCAAGTTGTACAATACTGTTTTCTTTTTGAGTTTGGAAGATGATTATATTGGTATTACATAAATTATTCTGGTGTTTTAACAATTCTATGTGATGTGAAGTGTTTGGATAGTTGGCTTATGGGAAAGCTTGCAAGGTGGAATAGTGGGTTGAGGTTTTATTTTTGTGAATGAAGATAGAGATGAAGATGAGTAGAGGTTACAAAAAGTTCTGTTAGATTTTTCAAAACTCTCTCTTCTCTCTTTCTAAAAACCTCTCTCTTGTGTGTTATGAAATAACTTATTTATAGATGAAATTGACTGAAATTTGGGAGGGAAATAGATAAGTTTTTTTGAGTTGTTTGGGTACACTGTTTCATTGCTTTTTTTAGATGCAACTCTTATGTGCTTAGTTTGTGCAAATATGGGATTGATATGATGCATATTTTGCAGGGCAACATAGCAAGTTTTGGACCAGGTTTTGACAATTTTATTGGAATTACTATGCAGGTTTTCGGACAGCAGGATATGTAGCATGATGCAAGGTAGTTTTGTAGTAGTTTGGAGTGGAGTGACAGCTTGGTGCATGTTTAGTTTTATGGACAAATTTATGCAGTTTGTAACAAAGACAAGGCATATTTGTGGACAACATGGTGGCAAAATTTGAAGATTGAGTCAAAGGGAAAAGTTCAAAGAAGACAAAGCTTAGGATTTGTAACTTGCAATTTTTAACTTAAAAATGCAGCTTTGTTGTTTACTTGAAAACTTGTAACATCTTGAGTTATCTTGAATTGTGGTGAAAAGATGTCATGAAATTAACAAGTATAAAAAACACTTAGGAAAATCTCTAAATCTTACAAAGTTTGACTTTTCAAAATGACTTTTGACTTTCTTGATTTCTTGATGATCAAATTTCATATTTTAAATGTCTTGATGAAATGTGATCTTTGAAACTCAAATTTGATCAAAAAGTCAAAGTTTGACTTTTCAGTGTACAATTGACTTTTTTCATCAATTGACCAAATTTTATCTATCAATCCACTGATCTCGGGAGGTGAATTGAAATATGTGATTAGGTCAAAATGATGTACTTGAATCCTTGAGATCATGTTTCAAACCAATAAGTCATGCTAGGTCAAAAGTCAAAGATTGGTCATTCTCAATCAAAACCCTAATTTTGACCATTTTGATGATTTGAACAATTTTCTTGGAGAATTGCGATCCAATCTTGATAAATGATACATATGACTTCAAAATATTGATATTGGTCCAAAATCTCGAAGTTTGACTTTAGGTTGACCACTGTTGACTTTTTTCTAATACAATTGATTTTAGGCCATCTGATCAATTGACTGAGCAATTTTGTGATCTAAGACTTGAAACTTGACAGGAGCAATCTTGAGGATCCATAATGATCCATGAAAGTCATTTGAAATATCAGAAGTCCAACTGTCTTTGTGCAAACTCAAACCCTAATTTGAGGCATCAGTGTTGAAGAGATGACTTGACCTAGTCAATACTTGTGCAAGCTTGAATCATTGAAGATCTTTGTGATAAATATCTTGAGAAAAGGGAGGGAAAATTATGGGGTACAACACTCGGGATAAATTATTGGCGGCTCTGAGAGAGAATTTGTTGAAGTCCCAAGATGTCATGCGCGTAAATGCTAACAAACGTCGCCGAGATATAGAATATGAAATCAGTGATTGGGTGTTCTTGAAGACGCAACCTTATATGAGAAGATCCTTGGCTAAAAAGATAATGAAAAACTCCCCCTCAATTTTATGGCCCTTTCCAGGTGCTAAAAAAAGTGGGTGTTGTTGCTTACAAATTTGATCTTCCATCTCACAGTAAAATTCATCCAGTATTTCATGTCTCTCTCCTCAAGAAGGCCATTGGGGATTCTTTCTAATCCCAACCTTTACCACATTTTCTATCTGAGGATTAGGAATTACAGATTTATCCAGACTCTGTTTTAGATAGTCATGAATTACAACCTAGCAACGTTGAAGTCTTAATTAAATGGCAGAATCTCCCTACAAGTGAAAGTAGTTGGAAATTTGTGGCTAAATTACAAGAGGTCTTCCCAGATTATCACCTTGAGGACAAGGTGAGTCTTTTGGGCGGGGGTATTGATAAGCCTAGGCCACCCATCACCAAGTTTTACACCCGCAGGCAGCAATGTCCAAGGAGTGCAGGGTCAAGAGATGCGAATCAGGGGGCATGACCCTTGATGAACAGACACACTAATCCGAAAGGAGACAACCCTTGGAACTAAACAACATCAAATCTAACAATCACAACTCTTCAGATTAATTGTGCCAATTAAGAACATATGTTAAATGCAATAGAAATAGAAACGAATCAGAATTAAAAAACTATTCAAAAAAATTAGGAAGAATTTGAATTGTGGAGAGACAAATTCTCGAAAACCTGTGTTGTAATATTCGAAAATTATCTATAAATATTTTAGTTTCTGTCTTTTCATTTCTATTCCATTTTTGTTGTTCTTATCAAATACAGAGGCATATAAAATACATCAAGTATGTAAAAAAACATGAAAATGATGATTATGATCTCAATACACTTCCTATCTAATACATTATACGCGAAAACAATGTTCGAAACAAACAACTACATTCATAACGCGACAACGATGTTCGACGCATAGTCATGTTTATATGTTACAACAATGCTCTACACACAGTAGCGGTTGATACATGAGCGATTTTCGAAACAAATAACTACGTTTATAACACACAAAATCATATTTATATGTGACATATATGCTCTACACACAGTAGTTCTCGATACTCGGCAACAACATTCAAAACAACATATAAGAAAATGAAACACATAAGCAAATAAAATAAATAGTCAAAGAAACTGGAAAAAGAATACCTTTCAAAGGAGAACAAAATCCAAACAAACTCAAGGAAATGGAGATGAACTTGTGATTCTCTAACTTAAAATCAAAATCTTCAAAAATATAGAGAGATAAATTAATTAGCATGATTTAAGAAAAAGCATAAAAATTCAATGTAAAATAACCTACCATTGTTGTACGGAGAAGGATAAAAAGTAAAGAATTTGAGGGATTAACATGTCACCCCTTTTATATATGGCACTCCCTAAATTGTATAAAAACACCAAATTACCCCAAATCAAGTATTTTTCAAAAATTCAAAATTTTTGTGACCAATCAAAATTTTTCGAATCTCTATTGTGATATTAGAAATTTCAAGGCGACACTGGAAATTTAGTAAGACAATAAGAAATTTCTGATATATTTGTGGAGTATCCGGTATTTTTGTACAAAAATTTCAGTATTTTTGTACCGAAAATTTTGAAATTTTCGGTGTAAACATTTTCCTTTTGTATCGAAAATTTCAAAATTCCCAAAATTTTATAGGATATCATAAATTTTGAAATTTCTGAAAATTCAAATGCACAATCTGAAATTTACTCCTACCAAAAATTTAATAAGAGTGTACCAAAAATTTATTCTGTACTGAAAATTTCATCCATTCTATTAAAAATTTCATTCGAAAATTGTTCGTATCTCATAAGAAACAAAACAAAAATAAAATTGAAGATGACACGTTTAATTTAAGAGGTCACAGTGTTAATTTCTAAGAAAATTGAAATGAAAAATGAAATTGTGGAGTAACTTGTTTTTGTTTTTATAGAAGAAAGGTAAATTTTAGAGGGAATAGTGCGCGGGTAAATTGAGGATATTTGGAGCATTTTACTGTGAACGTGGCTCTTCTATTCCTAGGAATAAATTGTTCCCAGGTTAATTTCAAGGGAATAAAAATAGATAGAACGTTCGTTAAATGAGTTTTTTGGATATTATTTATTTAAAGTATTTTTTATTTTATTTTCAGATCTACCAAACATAAGAATAATTAATTCCTACCAAAGAATCCCATGAATAATTTTTCTAACACCGAAACAAACACCCCCATAGGTTTTATTGTGTTTTTTTCCCTTCATTTTAATAGGCATCAATTATTTTGCGTTATCATGCTGTATGTCAGATCATCTAAAATATGTCATATTACTATTTTGTTAATTCAAAAAATCAAAAGAGACAAAATATAGTTGGTTTTAAAATGTGAAGTTCAATTCTTAATTAGGTATAAATAGAAAGATTAAAACAACAATTAAGCCTATTTTTTAAAGTTAAATGTTATCTTTGTGTTTTATTTATTTAATATTTGTCATTTTAGATTATCAATGCAATTTTATATTTAATCTGTCAATTGTATCCTCTAATAAATACTCTTAATTTATTATTTTATTACTTAATATTAATACTAATTTGAATACACTAATAGTAAATTAAAATGATTTGATAAATTACTATTCTCTTTTATTTATTATTGTTTCTTAATCCGTGTGAAATGATCAATCGTGACAAATATTATCTGTCGTTTTAACAAATAAATTTTATTTTAAAATGACAGTCGTTTTCACTTTTCAATTTAGCAGTAATTACTATTTTTTCAATTGTACCATTTATTTTATATTCTCTATACTACTTCCAATATATTAATAGGGTTAATTTTATAAAAGTGTAATGTCTTATGACAACATCATTACATTTTTTAATTTTTTGTGTAAAAACCTTAAACGATTGTCATTTTGAAACGGAGGAAGTATTCAGTGAAGTTGTTGTCACGTCTTCTCAAAGATGGTTTCAAAATGATGAACTTTGCTTTAATATAGATGACTCTAGGAGTATATTTGCTCTTATAATGTTTGATACTATAATGAAGATTTGTTGTACTTAGCATGTCAAGTGTATGTATATTTCACTATTTGTGTATATAGAACATTACCTCTCCCTCATAAATTGTTCAAATCTTAATCTCCATGCTTTTTCAAGCATAAACAAGCCCTCATTATTTTTGGAAGTCTTGTAAATATACTTTTATTGAGCTTTTGTGATGACTGTACCTTCACTTCCAGAGACACATTGGTTTTAGCATCCGTTGCCGCATCTGCTTTCACATTAGGTGATGGCTGCACGTCAACTCTAGGCCATGGCTGCAAGTTCACTTTCTCCAATGGATCCATTTTCAAGTTAGTTGTCGATGTCTCAACTTCCATAATAATTAATTGTTCAACTTCCACAGAAATCGACTGATCGTAAACTAGATAGACCGCGATCTCCTTAACAAACAATCCATGTCCAAAAACTAGAAAAATCTCCACCTCGTCTCCGGGCACCATATTTGATGTTAAACCCTTCCAATCTTCATCATTAAAGGACATTACTGTGTCTCGCTTGTATATCTTGATGGTGCACTTTGTGTAATTAATGATCAAGAAGCTAGTAAGACATTCAACTCCCATGTTTTCAGATATTGATGAATAAACAACACATAAGATTATTCCCTTCATCTGATGAACAGGAACTTCAAATAGTGCTGAAGGTCCTTTACCTTTATAGGCCAACCCAGAATGATAATTGCCACCAGGAAGGAAAAAGTCACTCGAATCATTGGCTGGTAATCCCTGTATCATAGGCATAGGCTTTGTTAACTACGACTAACAACAATCACAAAAACCAACATGGCAGCAAACATAACAACAAACATCCATGCTTAGAGAACTTCACAACTTACAAAGTTGGTTATTGTAAATTTGATTTACACAAAATCCAAATTTCAACATGTTTTTGGAACTTACACAAGATCTGTAGCATGCTATCAGATCACATTCCAATTGTCCAGTTCTAGACACGTGTGTTAAGAGTCTCACTCGATGCGATGAGACTTGAACATACGTTTATAAGTAGGGAAAATTGTCACCTTACAAACCGATTTTGTAAGGTTGAGTTAGGAAAACCCAAAATTTCAATAACATGTCACAAGTTGTAAGGAATAATCTAGAAACAAAGTTCTTGTGTGATAGTAGCTATCTACTATGATACTAAAAGAAAAAATGTTTTATAATTAGACACCTAATATAAAACGTTGACAAGGTAAAAATTATTGAGAAGTAAAACATTGTTGTATAAATGCTACACATGCAATTTAGATTTAACGTATTTATAAAATAAAGGATATAGAAGGAACCTGTGATATGCTCTTGTCAAAAGTATCATTGTCTATGTGACAACTTCCCATTCTAATCAAAAGCGATCTCGAGGAAAGATTTGAGATTTGTGATTTGTTTGATGTTTCCAATTTGGTGAAGTTTACATCATATTGATCATCAAGAATTCTTTGTAATTCTTGAGTTAGTTGAATCTTTGAGCGGCATTGTATCCAAACAGTTCTGAGTTGTGAAAGGCTCCTAACCATTGGTGATAGAAATCCCACATTATTATTCTGTACATTGACGGAAGCTACAGATAAAGCCTTGTTTCCAAATGGGGAAATGCGGGGTAAGGAATTCATTGTTGGCGACATCCAAGACCAAATGAGAGAGGGAAAAACATCGCGTGATAATCCTTCAAATCCACATAGGGATATATAAGCGATGTTTTTCGATCTTACTATGGAATAAGGCACCTCTTTTACACCTGTATCTTTCGCGATCAGTGTTGTCAAAGATTCCATTTGCACTACATCTTCTTCCAAATTGTCAATCTTTGAACAACCAGAAAGAATGAGAGTTTTCAACGATTTCAATTGATATATCTTCGTTGGGAGATTGTTAAGACTTGTACAATCCTTAAAATTTATCAGAACAAGTCTATTGAGATCTCCGACAGATGGGTGTATGTCAGACAAGTTTGGACAATCTTTCATGATGAGCTTTTCTAGATTCGGTAACTTTGAAAAGTCGGGGCTGTTTTTCAAGTACTTAGAATGACTGAGATTAAGAATTTCAAGCTTCTCCAGCAACTGCAAGAAGATAAATGTTAAAAATGGAGGCAAGGCAACAATTACTATTGTCATAAACTTTTTAGTTACAAAAGAAAATGTTACTATTTACCATCATTTCATTCCAAACTTGTCTAATATTGCTGTGTTTTAAGTCTATAGCAACAAGATTTTGCTGATAAAAGTCATCGGGTATATAGTTGAAAGAAGTAAATCCTTGCCATTTGACCCATCTCAGTTGATTGGAAAGACACCCGTAATCTCCAATGAGATCAACACAATCAAGTTGTAAGAGTCTCAGTTTCTTCATTTCCTTGAATGAATTAGTATTGAACCAAACTCTGTCGGTTCTTTGCAACTTAAAAACCAATCCCTCCACCGTTTCCGTTCCCTGCGTTTGAAGAAGAAAAATACGTTAGAAATGTAGGGGAACAGAAAAACCTTTTTTGTTCACTTGCTAGAGGAATGTCTTACCGTATTTTTTGTCAAAACATCATGTACATCGTCATGAAACCACAATCGACTACGGTTTCCTGAACTTTTTGCTGAACTTTGACGAACTATTTCTCTTCCCATGTCTCTTAGCAAATCATGCATTGCAAGCTTGTTATTCTTTTCAACTTTTACAAGGCTCCGCTCAACAAGGACTGTTATTCCAATGTCAGCATAGAGTCCACACCCATTTAGTATCTTGGCAACATAGGCTCTGTCCTTGCCGATAAAGAAACAACATATGTCAAGAAATATATCCTTTTCCATATCATCTTCTAAACCATCATAGCTTATTTTTAGCTTCTCTTGTACTTGGTCATTAGGAATCCTCTCTAGTTTTGACAATACACTTTCCCATTCTCTTATTGTCCTTCCATATAAGTAAGACCCAAGGATTTCAAGAGCAAGTGGCAATCCACCACAGTAAGCAACAACATTTCTAGAGAGTATACCAAAGTATTTTCTCGGACTTGGTTCTCTAAAAGCATGCCAACAGAAAAGCTCAAGGGAATCATCTTCACCCATTTCCTTCATTGTACAAACATGTGCAACTTTAAGTAATTTAAGTAGGTGTACATCTCTGGTTGTAACAATTAATACACTTCCGGAACCAAACCATTTACGATTTCCACACAGGGCTTTTATTTGCTCAAATGTACTCACATCATCTAGTACAACGAGAACCGTTTTCCTCACAAGTCTTTTCTCTATCTTAGTAGTCCCCGATGTTATACTATGTATCTTCTTGACCTTTACCTTTAAGACATCTGAGAGTAGTTGTTCTTGTAAACGAATAATCCCGTCATTATCTTTTTCACAGACTTCTCTAATATTTTCAACGAAGCTTCTATCTTCAAATTTGCGGTGGATTTGATTATAGATGGCTTTTGCTGTGGTTGTTTTACCCGATCCTCCCATTCCCCAAATCCCTGCCATGCAAACTATGTTTGATTGATCATTAATAAACTCAATAACTTCTTGGATACGGGATTCTAAACCAACTGGATATTCAGTAATAGATAAGAGCGAGTTGTCTAGTTTTGTCAAAACTTCCTTAACAATTGACTTTACTAGTTCAGCTTCATTCCTTCAATAATCATTACAAAACAGACAGAATGAGGCGTAAATTATGAAAGCTTCAATAACCATTACAAAACAGACAGAATGAGGCGTAAATTATGAAAGATTGAAGCTCAACTATCTATTTGTTTGGTTCAAAAGAGAGTAAAGAGAAGGAATTGGAATTTAATAGCAAGTAGAAAAATAAAACTGAAGTATTACTGCTCATGATTATAGGAAAATGTTGATCACAAAATCATAATTCATATGGAAAATGTGAGACGAACCTGCTTTCTGAAGCAAGATCATAAAAAAACATGGTGGGTCTTTTTTTGAGCTGGAGAGCCAGGTCCGTCCAGAAGTGTCAATGGGTCAAGTATTCATGGTTACAAGAGACCTTGACACCACATATTCATCCAAAACCTTACGGCAATGGGATATGAGTCACATCTCTTATAATCCCAACATTTCCTCTATTCCTAGTTGATGTGGGACTTTTAGCACAACTTTCGCACTTGAACCCCAACACCTTAATTCATTCACTCAACAATACAAAACTACAGTCGCTCTATAGTCTTTAATGTATTAATAACCTATGAAGTACGGACAACTGAAACACGTCTACACTAGTAATAATTTAAAATAAATAAATAAATAAAATATAATCACAATAGGAGACACCTTCTTTCAAAGATGTCGGTGCCAGAGTTAATAACAGAAAGTATTGATTTTATTTACCTGAAATTATTGGCATCCCAACCAGACAAATTTGCAGTTTGGTTGAGCAAACTCCTCCAACTCGACAAAGCATCAACAGCCCCATTCCCATGGTACGTTTTCTGAGCCCGCAATTCCAACGTTTTTCCAAAATCACCGGTTTGATGCCGCACAACCGACGGATCGATGTTATAAAATACAGGGAAAACAACATGACCATAAGTAGTGCGACATTCCATGATTTTTTCAAGCTCATGAAGACACCAACTAGATTCAGTATAGTTTTCAGAGAAAACAACAATAGATATATGAGAAGATTCTATTGCTCCTAGGAGTTTTTCTCTTAGCTCTTTTTCCTTTAGTAAGTTGTCACTGTCAAGAAAAGCGTTGACTCCCAAGTTTGAGAGTGCAGCGTGTAGATGAGAAACGAAATTCTTGCGAGTGTCTTCACCTCTAAAATTGATGAACACGTCGTATATCCATTGTTGATTGGAATTGGAGTACAGTGATGTTAATTTCATGTTTCAAAGGAGTAGGAGGAAAGGAAAACCCTGATGGTAACGGTGGTAGATAGAAGAATATTGTTATGCTCTCTTCAGTTGACCTGTGTATTCTAAGAAAATGGTGACAACCTTACTCACAATTTATCCTCTAAAATATGACACCAATGTCAGTTGAACACGTTGTTATCATTGTCCTTTTTTTTTATAAATCTTTTCTTCTATTATAAATTGTGAAAAGGTGGACATACTAAGTGGACATTGTTTACTATTGTGTATTGTGTTTGAACTGACGGTGAATAAAATTGATTATAGCAGAATTAAATTTGATTGAATTGATTTTAACAGAATTCAGTATTGGTATAATTGATTTATGTTTGGATATATTTATGTAAAATTGAGTTGAACAATAAATTTCAATATAAAAATCACTCAGAATCAATTCTGGAGATATAAACTACAAATTCTAGCTTCAAGTAGAATCAATTCTGAAGGCAAAATCAATTATACTTTTGATAAAACAAACACATCAAAATCATCCAGAATCAATTCTACACCTCTAGAATTGATTCTGAATCTTCCAAAAGTCAATCCAAACATGCTATATATCATTAAATCGATAATAAATTTTTTACTTAATTTTGGAGCACACATCATCTTGTGTAAAAGAAACTCATATTCATCGAAGTTTGATTGTACCAACACCTTGTCAAACTTTTTTGATTGTGGCATCCCTCTATGCCCACTTCTCCTTCTTGAAACACTTTCATCGTTATCGTCAATCTTCAAAAATTTCACCTTTGAAAATTGTTTGGATCATATAGTTGTTTAGACTTCATATAAAGTAATAGTATCTTCCTTACCATAAAGAATGACATTTTTGAAGTGCTCGAATGATCTAGGTAATAATCTTGACAAGAGTATAGTATTGTCATCATCATCAATCTTCACCTCAATATTCTTCATATCATCAATGATTTTGTGAAATTTTGTGAACTGTTCCGCTATAGATTTGTTCTTTGTCACTCAAAATGAATAGATTTGTTGTTTCAGACAAAGAATGTGAGTCAAAAACTTAGTCATATACAGTGATTTAAGTTTTGCCCATATTGAAATCACAGTCTTCTTCATGTCGTCTTCTCTTAGATCTTTATTTTCGATGCACAAGATAATGATACTCATGTCCTTATCCACCATCTCGGTCTTCTCTTATTGTGTTAGACGTGCATGCATCGTTGTGTCACCCTTCGATGCTTCAATATAATTCTCTTGAGTTATGATTGCTTGATCTACCATTTATAGCACATGGTGCTCACTTGTAAAGCTCAAAATCATTTTAGTGGAAACTCTTGAAAAAATAGTAGGTCAAATTGTTAGGTCGAACTTGTATAAATCTCTAGTGCATTTCTCTCCTCTCTTATCTCTTTATCTTTCCATTTTTTATTTCTCTCTGCTGCATTTCTTTCTCTCCATAATTCTGAAATTCTTTTACTTACTTATTTCGCTGTTTAATCTCTGTTAGTTTCATAAAATTAATTCAAACGTTTTTAAAATCAACACTTTTGTAATTGAACTTCGATGTTCAACCAACACAATTTACTCCTCTATTGTGTTTGAAGTCACTTGATCAACAAATATTATAGAAAATGTTGAAGTACCTCCTATGATATAAAAATGGTGAAAATAGATTTAGGTTGTTTCGACAAATAGAAAAAAGAGATGTGAATTATGTTTTAATAAGCGTAAATTAGATGAAGAGTAGTCAAACAATAGAAGAAAATCTAAAAATTATAAGAACAACTATCATAAAAGATCTCAAGATAGACGAATTAAATAGAAACATGATATTTTTTATAATTACAATAAATTTGTTTTTAGAAAATTTATAAAAAGAAAATAGAAAAATACAATAAGTTTGTTTTTAGAAAATTTATAAAAAGAAAATAAAAAAATTATAAAATGTCATAAGCTATATTTTGTTAAAAAATTTCAAAGAGTATCACAATTTATTTCAAGAAAAAGTTCAAATAAATTAACTCAAACATACCCTTACTCTTGTTTATTATGATGTATTTTTCACTAGCTATGGCCTTAGCAATTGGAACTGCAATAAAGGTGGAGAAGCTATGTCCTTAGCAATTAGAACTCTAATAAAGGTTACATATATTCCCTAATTAGTTGATATATTCACTTTCACAACACTTCATACTAGATTGTCTGCTGCAAAACTATAGTGTTTTGTTAAAATTTTCTTAGGTTCAACTTATCCTTGACAAAATGTGAAACTCTGTCATAAACTACTATGCACGCCCTAGAAACTCTGTCATAAACTACTATGCACGTCCTCTAAGACGACCCTGATAAAAGTCATCTGACAACACTGTCGTGATAAATATAAATAGTCTTCTTCTTAGAAAGAAATGATATTTTTGGTTATACAATATAGGACTAATAAATCAACCAAATTTATCTAACAGAAGCAATCAAGATAGATAACTAAAATAAATTAAAAGACAGCCTCAGATCTAAGACAAGATAAACATACTACAAAGACAACATTAACATAAGTTTGTACAAAACAAGAACAGAATTCATACATTAGAGGATCAGAATACCTTCTAGTACAAAAGTTAAAACATTAACATAACAGTTTACCCTTTTCTTTAGTGATTCTTAAAGTCTACATTTTAAAAGTACAACATACAACATCTTAAAAAGGTTAATACTAGATTATATTAAACAAAAGGATCATAATCTCCTGCTCATAACTCAGTTAACTAGTGAAGATACGTAGCTTGGTACTGATAGCCATTTCCAAAGTAGTTTCCATGATTATGAGAGAAGTTATAATGTGCATTGCCGAGGATAGGGGGACAGTGATTCTCGGTTGGTCCAGCGTACATGTAAGATCGGTCGTAAACATATTGTGGATACCTGTCAGCAGCAACTCTAGCATAGGAAGTTTTGTCAGAAGGGATGTTGTTAGTGACACGAGGACCATATCCTACACCGTTAGCACGGGGTCTCTTTGGTTGAGGCTTTGTCGCTTCAGTTTCCCTTTTTTTGTCAGCTTTGGCCTTCTCTAGTTGGACAACCCGTTTCACAAGAGGTTCCAGAGGATACTGCTCTTCGAGTTTATGTTCTTCAATGCACTTGATTACAGCTTTATGAGCAATCAACTCTCGTTCGTTAACTTCAATCTGATACACGAAATCAGAGGTAAGTACCAAGAACATAAAAAGGAAAAACTCAGCAAAATTTCAGACCACTGCATCAAATCATTAGAAGATAACGATGAAGGGGATAATGACTCAATTTATAGCATAGACTCGATGACGAACCTGAGCAGTGGGGGATGAGTTACCCCTTTTGACAGGTGAGCAAGAATTTCTAGCATCCTGCAAATAAGATTTCAGTAGGGAAACAGGAGAAAACTGTTTTGTCAGATCAAATGCAAAAGCCAAGTTAACCGCGTCAATTTGCCTCCCGCTGTTCACCAAAACCTCAATCACACCTGCATGTCCAAAATGAAAAACAAAGCATTAGAACAAACGGATGCGATGATTATTTAGCTGCTTCATCGCTTCAGTCTAGAATTGATACAAATGCTAGATCTTGCATGCACCTTGCAGAATGCTGATAAACAGACAACAACATAGGGTTAAGATCGAAACGAAAGATTATAAAATGAAAAATACATACCTGGCATCTTCTCTGATAATCCAAGGCAACGGCATAAATCAGCAGTTTGGCGACGCCGAGACACCATTGGAATTAGCCTGGATAACTCTTCCTCATCAAAACCAGATGCAATATCAAAACTAGCTACGAGTTGCAAAAACGCATGAGCCTCCAAGGAATTCCCATTGCTAGCATCGATGTCAAGCGCATCCAATCTCGGCTTCCACTCTTCAGCAACTGCCTTTGCCCTATCCTTGATATCTTTGGAAATCACATTAGAAGCAGAACCCAAATCAGTTAGGAAATCGCTCAGACACTCCATCAGCATAATACAGGTCCGGCGAAGACCTAATAAGTTAGCATCCTTCTTAATATCCTGACTTGATACTTCCGTGCAGTAAAATCCTTCCAAAGAATCCAACACTAAACTGGCAGCATTAGGAGAAGCTCTTAATGCAAGTGGTATTTCCTCCCTTATAGCAGCAAGGTTCTTACGGTTATCAGATATGAACTTGTGAAGTCCAGAAACATCCATCTCTTTGCAAAGTTTTACCAATTCTGGATACGAGATCACTTCCACATTTCTATCTTCACGAGAAAGTTTCACATCTTCTACGTGACCTTCTGTCACATTAGAAATAGCATCCGCATCCATTGGTTTCTCCTCCACACTTAATGCACATTGACTCCCATTGGAAACGATGCCCAAATCTTTCTGTGAAACCTTCCTGTGCTTTTCTCGAGCATTTACAATGGCAAATGTAGCAGCATCTCTTTTCTCTTGAAGCCTCTGCAATGTGGCTTGCTCCTTGGCAAAAATAGCCGCTTCCTGCTTCTTCAACATTTCACGAGCTTTCAGTGTTTTGTTCTCAAACACTTTCTCTTGATCTTCTAATTCGTGAAAGCGCCTCTTCAAGGATTTCTCAAGCCCGTGAAAATGTTCCTCCAGTTCTTTCCATTTCATGTTAAGAGTAACTGCTCGATAACTTTCGAGCTCAGCAAATGCCTTCTGCAGCTGTTGTATCTTCGAAGACGTTGAATCCATCAGTGTAGCCACTGAGTTCGTTTCTTCCATCGCTAAGAAGCTGAAAAAGATATAATAATGAAACAAATACTTAACTTCAGCTTATGAAAGCATGAATCATGGTTATTCGTATACACCACAGTCTACATACTAATCAACAAATAGCGTACATTTGCAATATGCAAGTCATAACAACCTATTCATAACTACCTAAAATAGGATAAGTTTCTTCAACTCTCAATGGCATTCCGAATTACTCAATATGGCGGTACTTTAACTACAAACTGCATAAGTATTTGTTTGTATCTAGCATGTTACACACATCCTTTGTGTCTCTTTATACTCTTACTCGAAGGATGTGTGTAACGTGCCTGATACAACCACCAAGTAAAGTGTTTCATAGCACTTATTTATTATTTAAAGCAAGTATCAAGGAAATATGACATATTAATGCACCAAAAACAATCATATCCTTAACTTTGTTTACATATTTAGCAACAAAAAATTAATGTACAAACACAAACAATAATGTTGATACAATGGTCAATAATAAACCAATACACCATGCCTAAAGTTAATAATACAAGTATTTAAAAAAGAAAGAATCTAATTCTAGCTCATTATCCTTTACTATTTATGACATCATATTTAACCTTTCACCAAATCCTGAAACATCAATTTCTATATAACTTGCCTAGTAGATAAACAAGCCTTGATATTTCAAACAAGAACAAAATTTCTAAAATACTTACCAAAGAAGATATCTAGATCCAAACCTTTAGAGCTACAATAACTGAAACCCTAAAAAAAGAACAGGGGCAAAATCGGCACAATATTTCAACTCATCTTCAACTAAAAGCAAATGAAAATAAAAAACAACAACAATAAACATCTAAAAACTTATATAATCTAATAGTAACGAATTTCCAGAAAATACTAACAAAAAAAAAACTAAATTAAAAAAAAAAACTATGTAGTTGTTCAACAAGAGTAGAAGATTTGTAGAGCAATGTATGGAACATAAAATCAGACAAGAAACATGTGAAGAGGAATCTGTGTACATAGGAGTAAACAAAGCCGATCTAAACCGACAGCAAGAAAACAAAAATATAGAAAGAAAAAAACAAAACAAAAAAGTGAGAGTTACCTGATTGATCTGAAAGAAACTAGTACTGTGAAACAAAGAGAGGGAAAGGGAGAAGATGAGATAGAGATAGAGAGAGAGAGTTCTCAATCCATATTCTCAGTGCAACCCTCACATCAGAGAGAGATGAGAGAGAAAGATGAAGAAGAAGATGAAGAAAAGGAAGAGAGAGAGAGAGAGAGTATGTGTGTGTGGTGTTTGTTAAATAAAATAAAAGAGAGTCACAAAAAGCTGACTCTGTTTCACACTTGTTTCTTTTTTCTTTTAAATGTTTGGTTTGGGAAGTTCCGTTTCCGTTTTGGTCTTCACCGTTTACGGACACTACCAACTGCTACAGAGTTGAAGTGTGTCATGTTCGATAAAAATAAGAAACGGACATTCTTTCTTGGGGCTTGTTACGATGTTTAACAAACCACCATATGCTGCCTACACTAGCCTGTTTAGAGTAAAAACTTGGATGTATTTAATTTAAATTTTGCTCTAATTATGTACTCTATGTGTTTTAAAATAAATCTCGTTTAAATTATTATAATGGATTAAAAAAAGTAATGATTATCTTAATAAAGATAAAAATTATTTTTCATTATTGTTATTAATGGTTATATATTGTCTTAATTTGAAAAGAGTGTATATAAGAGATAAAATTGATATATTTACTTTTTACTCTATACATTACTTTAAATTAAGACAACTTTTTATGACTACAAATTAGAAATACACTTATTTTTAAGATCGAAGAATCAAATTTCTCTCTCCATTTTTTTTACTTATATTTTGTCTATGGTTATATTTATTATGTTGTGCTCTCTTCATTTTTTTAGTAAGTGATTTAAAGAAATATTTTATTTACAAATAAAATTAATATTACTTGTGTATCTACGTAAGGATTGTTGAAAATGTAATTTCTTGTGTCGAAACATATTGTTCGACAAAAGTAAGGTAGTATTGAAATGGTTTAGTGTGTTGAAGTTGTGTATAGGAGTGGAAATAGGTTGGGCTGAGCTAGGCTTTGTCAAGTCTGAGTCGGGTTTGGCAAAAAAATTGAAGTCTAAGTCTGGTCTGTAGCCTGTCATAGGCTTATTTTAGGCACGAGTCTGGCCTTTTCTAAGGTCTAGTTAGCCCGTTAGCCTACATAAAAACTTATTATTTTAGACATATGTAAATAAACAATTTAAATAATATTTAAATTGACTAACAAACTAAAAAATCAATGAGACTAAAAATTTGTTTGCATTATTTTATTTTAACTTACCAATTAGCATAAGTTTTGTGAGACTATTTATTTAAGAGGACTTGTGAAAACAACTTATAACATTGTTCATAAGGTCTTTTATTTTATTTTCATAAGTTCTTCAAGATAACCATGTTTTATTTATGTATTTTGATTCAATGTACAAAACATAACATAATGATAATAAAAAAAAAAGGTATTTATATTTATTTATATTTATTTATATAGGCTGGCCTGTTAGGTCTAAAAGACTTTTTTCATGGTCTGAGGCCTAGCCTTTTTAACTAAATAGGCCTATAAAAAAGCTTAGGCCTAGCTTGAGCCTATGTAGGCTAGGGCGTAGCCTGAGCCTATGCAGGCTAGGTCGTAGGCCCCTGCTATCGGTCTGGCCTATTTTCACCCCTAGTTGTGTGGTTGTCGAGATGTCGAAAGGGTTAGTCTCTACAAGAATTTTGACTTAGCCTTATTTTGTAATGATAGCAGAATTAGGTTATTTGAGAGTTTGCTTAGGGAGCAAGCAAAATCAACCTATAAATAAGGAGTTACTCTATTGTTGTACAAAAGGCAGTTGCATAAATGATAAGTTTCAATTTTGAGAGTAGAGAGAAACTTTGTAGATATTGTCTTCTTCTTCCCCTATCTTTTGCTAAAACCCTAATTCCATTTCTTCCCCAATTCTTCTTTTTTCTTCTTCCATAATATTGTGCAGTGAAATCATCTTGAATTCAAGGTTGATTGATTCACTCGAGTAGAGGATGAAGAACAAGAGACAAATACGATCGGTGCAATTGAATGTTTTTCATCAAAATTGATTCAAAATTCTCCATAAATTTGGTGTAATTCCAACATTCACTACTACAAATAATGCATGTAATGTTGGACGCGAAATATGTAACGCACGCAATTTAATTAATTAATTATTTATTTATTTAATTAAATTATTTTTGGATTATTTGTGAAGTTGCGAGATGTTAATAATTATCAGTGTGAGTTGTTGGATTATTATTAATTAATTAATTAGTTGATTAATAATAATTATAATGTGGAATTAAAAGGAATATATGAAATAGTGTTGGACTTATGTTACTGGTTGGAAGTAGTAAAATGAGGGTGTAAGTTAGGCCCAATAGGATTGATATATAAGGCTAAGTTGACACAAGGGTTTCTTTTAGTTGGAGAATAAGGTTTTTTGTATGCTGACCGGTAGAGTTGCGCGGAAGAGGAGCAAGCTGCCCGGCATCAAGCAGAGCGAAGCAAGCTGTCGACTGGAAGCCTTGGTTGAGCGACCTTCAATCCAGGTAAGGGTGGGGTTCTGACCTTATAATGGGATTTATGATGCATATTATGTGGGAATTGATCGTAATTGTGATTGTTGCTGAACTTGTTAAGGGAAGATGCTTGTCCCGTTATGTTGTGGATGTTTTGCGTTGTCTGCATGACTGCCCGATAGAGTTGATGAGTAAGTTAGTGTAGATTGTTGCTTGTTGTTGTGGTTTTTAGGTTGTTGTGGTCGGTATGATGGTATGGTCGTTACGATGTTGTAGTGGTTCGAGCAGTTGGTAGGAAGTTAGAAATTACTGTGGTAGTCGGTCTTGTATAATGAACGACTCTATCGATAGGAATATAGTGGCCCGTTACTGTGCTATTCCGAGCGATTGGTCGAAAGTTATGAATTATAGTGGTGTGATCGTTAAGATGTTGTATCGTGACTGTGTTGTTGGTCGAATTAGTGGTCGAGGAGGATACTGAAGTAGTAGGTACCGAGTGACGTTTTAGACTGCGAGGCATGTCGGGGAATGATGCATTGTGTTGTACCACAAAATTTTCCCTCTCATTTATCAAGATTTTTCTCACAAGATCTCTTTGACTCAAGACTGGATTAGGGTTTGATCAGCTCAAGATATCTCATCATGCACTGATAACCCAAAATTAGGGTTTAAGATTGCACAAATATTTTTGGACTATCAATGCTTCATATGACTTTCAAGGACAATTATAGACCCCCAAGATTACTCATGTCAATTTTCAAGCCTTGAATCACATTTTTGATCAGTCAATTGGATAGTTGACCTAAAAATCAGCTGTATTGAGGAAAAAGTCAACCATAGCCAATTTACAGTCAAACTTCATAATTTTTTATCCATATCAACATTTTAGACTCATATGTATCATTTGATCAAGTTTGGTTGATAATTCCTCAAGAAATTTGATCAAATCATCAAAAGGGCAAAATGGTCAAAATTAGGGTTTTGACTGAGAAAGGGCAATTTCTGATTTCTGACCTAGCAAATGATCAATTGGTTTGAATAATGATTTCAAGAGTTCAATTGCATCATCTTGACCTAATGACATGGTTCAAAACATTGCAAGTCTATTAGATTGACAGATGAATTTTCCAATCAACTGATCAAAAGCCAACTGTATACTGAAAAGTCAAACTTTGACTTTTTGGTCAAAATCAAATGCCAAGGATCACAATTCATCAAAACTTGTCAAAATATGAAACTTGTTCATCAAGAAATCAAATATTGAAGATTTTGTTTTGAAATTTGAAATTTTCTTAACTTAGAAATTTTTCTAAGTATAGAAAATTTCATATTTTTTCTCAACTTTAAGCAAAATTCTCACCATGATACAAGATGATTCAAAAAAAGTTCTCAATATTAAAGTTGTAGATATACATGAAATCTACAACTTTGCTTCACACTATTTCTCCTAAAGATGCTTGGATCTCAAGATATAACTTTGTGAGTACATGCTCATGAACCAAAATAACTTAGTGAAATTTTGCCCTAATTTAGGCAGGTTTTTGACCTAACTTCATGGCAACTTTTCACCTAGTTCCAGGAGGATTATTAGAAATCAATTCAAATATGAGTTATAGAGCACATTTCAAGCTTTCCAAAATGTCCAAGAACTCCTTGAGATCATTCTTGAGTATGGAGAATCGAAGAGAGGAAGTTGACAATTTCTCACTTTGATTTCAAGCCATTTCATGAAGAACAAAATTCAAATCCAAACCTAGGCTGCATAATCCTTGCTTTGCAGGTCTCAAACTTGTTTCTCACTCCATAATTAAATTCTTAAACAGTTGATAAATATTTAATCCAAGCATGAGAGCCTTTGTCCAAGTTATAATTCCATAAATGGCACAAAGTTGTCATTTTCATTTTAGTAAAGCACAACTTTTGCATTTGTCAACTCCTTGAGCTTTGCACCTGTTCTTTCTGCACACACAAACCCTATAAACCAAAATCAATGTTCCTAAGACTTGTACCAAATCAGACCAGGCTTGTATAAGTATGTAGATAGTTGTCTCCTCACTTTTCTTCAAAAGCAAGCCATAGAGCAAAAAGTCTATAACTCAGAAATCTGGAGGAAGCTTGAGGTCTAACCTTTTCTATACTTATACAAAAACATATTGTAACCTAGAGGACAATTTCTAAAGCTCAGAAACTCTCCCAAACTCTCTATCACTGAAAACCTGCCATAACTTGCAATTCTGCATCTTGCATAGCAATCTCAAAAACCACTCGTGTGTTTCAAGTTCTAATCACCTAAACACTTAACCTACATCATATCTAAGTGTTCCAGACCATCATCCCTTCACTGTAACTCCTCCTTCTCCATCTGCCATTTTTGCATTTCAAGCTTGCAGGTTGACTTGAGTAGGGAGATTTAGGAACCTTCAAGGCAAAGTAAGGATTGGAACACACTCAGGGAGGTCCAGGCAAGCTAAACAGATCCCCAGGCCTTCTAAAAACTCACTCAAAGTCCATTCACGATCTCATCTGAAAGAGGTAAAAACTCTAACTTCTATCTCTTTATACAGGCATCCTTTGGTCTCTATTTGTGAAAATATAATGTAGATATCCTTGCACTAAAACCAACCATGTTTATAGATTTCATTTATATTCATTGTGTATAGAGAATTTTAGATTTGAAATTTCTGTAAAAATTAGGTTTGAAATTAGGGCCAGTAAAATTAGCTTTGATCTTTAACTTTTAGTTTACATGAGTTACATGTTTGAAATCATGGGAAGGAGTACTATCATTTTCATGTTTGAAGTTTCTATTTTCATGGAGAAATGAGAGAGATACGGGTGGTCCGGCTAGCTAGAGGAAGATGATGAAGTACAGGGCAAGGAAGCGTTTTGTGTTATGTATTTTTAGTTTC